GACACAAACGGACAAGTGCCTTTACCTTTGTTGCAAATCAAACTTGAAAAACAAAGTCTAAAAAGGGAGATCGCAGCTAATGCAGGGCATGGAATCATACCTGCTCCTCCTCTTGCTCCTGCATTGGGACGGAACGATCTCTCCCCCGCTAACCGCCATTGTGGGGGGGGGCTCACAAGTCTCCTGCACCTGGCCTCCCTCCGAGAGATCCATGAGGAGCCCAACATGACACAAAGTTCGGGGGGGGTGTCTCCAAAAGAAGCAAGAAGGGCAGGGGAACTCAGGAGCAGCCCTAGAACCACCCTGGATGCCACGCCATTTTCCCGGAACCTTGCCTTAAGAATATTTTTAACATTAATGGTCACCAACTGCCCAACAGAGAGGTCTTTCTCACAACTGAAATGTGTAAAAAACCCAAATAGATCAGTTATGCTTCAAGAAAGAGTCAACTCACTGTGTATATTAACAATTGAAGCAGACATTCTGAGAGGTATTAATTTCGAGGATGTTATCAGTGATTTTGCGAAAATGAAATGTAGAAAAATGCCTTTCAGATAATTAATATTGGAACTTTGATACATTTAACTTGTATTTTTGTAGAACTTTATGTAGCCCAAGCTTGGCTTAGTTTGTACAGTAAGAAGTTAATGTAAGAAGTTAAAAGGGAAAATATACAGACAATGAAAGAGGGAATGTGGCAGTGTATTTATAATTTTGTTCCCATATGAATTTAACAGTTTTTGTGTTGGAAGTTTAAGTACCAGGTAGTCAAGCTGTTTGCATGTTTAAACGTAGTTAACAAAATTCTGTATATTCTGTAAATTAAACAGAATATTTAGTGAATACTTAGTTACCTTAATGTAAGAAGTTAAAAGTAAAAACATACAGACAATGAAAAAGGGAATGTGTCAGTGTTATCATATGAATAAATTTTTGTATTGCTGCAACCTGCATTGTATACCTGGTCAGAAAGGTCAACAACTAAAATGGACTGGATCAGTGTGGAAAGGAGGGGGGCACCAAGATTGGTCAGTGCTTAGGGCACCAGTGAGCCTTAAACCGCCCCTGAGGATGGAACAGCAGTATGCTTATCCATTTTCAGATATTCTCTAATATGCTGAGCAACACTACCATGCCATTATTATAACAGAGGCTGACATATATGATTACATCCCTTTACTTTCTATGTAGTATTTCCCCCATAAATTGCAACTCTAGGTTCAGAGGTCTTCGTTTTGTAAGAAGACAATAGGTTTTGGCCATATGAGAGTTCGTAACAGAAACTGCACAATTCTAATTTCCTTGTGAGAATGTTTGACTCTTCTCCAAATGTGCTGGGTTGACTAACCTCTCATCATAGCTGAGTATAGTTCCCAGGAAAGGATATAAATGGGTGCTAATTGCAAAAAAAAACAAAAAAGCTCAATGACATCTAGCATCCTGAATCAGAAATGGGCACACGATGAAAGATAAATAGACCTGCATTCAGTATCCATTAGCAACACCTCTCTGTTTTTCTGCAAAACCTAAGAGACAAACTGAGTAATCCTAAACAGTTAATCCCTTGAAAGCCATAAACCCATTTCCTTCAATGGGCTTAGAAGTGTGCAGTTCTGCAGAGGATTACACAATAACTATAAAATCTGTGTTAAAACAAATAAAGGAAAATGCATTTCACAAATGTTTCATATGTTTACAATTTCAATTCAGAAGCACCCCCCTCTCAACACTATTAATATTAAAGGTAAATTGCCAACATGAAGTTTTGTCTATTTTAGCGATAAAAACTTCTGGGATGTATCCTAAGTGCTATCTATGCATGACAAATCATTTCAAATTTGCAAAATGAAAGTGGCTTGGAAAAAGTCGCTCTTGAAAACAATGGCCACAGCTAAAAAAATTCCCTGACCATATCATTTTCACCCAAGAATTTTTAAACTGACTCCTCCAACAGCATCATGAAATACATAGTCTCCTTGGCCTTGAAAACAAAACCTCACATACTTATTAATTTTTAGACACCTGTTATTCAATGTATTGCCTTTTTGGGGGAAATATTCACATTCCCCAATAACAGCATTTGACATAGATCCTAGCCGTACCAATTTGTAAATGGAAAAAGCAAAAAACAAACAGCAAATGGATACACTTTCTGGACTGTAATGCACTATATGGTTTGCTTTATTCCCCAGCCTGGATGACAGTCCTTTGCTGCAGAGAAAATACCAAAGGGTAAAAGACAGCTTAACTAACCTGTGTGTTGCCTCCGATGCTTGGTGAGGGCATGACGTGTCCCGCCAGCGAAGCCACAAAGGTCACATAGGAATGACTTCTCGCCTGTTGCAACAATAAACAGATGAGGGATTGCGGAGGTCACAGATCATTAAAACATATCTATCAAGGCTTTCAGGGTTACTAATTCCTCCAATCAAATGTTTCCATGTAAATATGTCAAATGGGAATGAAATTACCACTGCGGTTTATTGACTGTGATAAAATCTGAAAAGCACCACTGAACATAATTACATACTTGTCAGACCCATAAAAATTAGCTTTATTATCAATGGAATGGTTTTGTACAACTTCATTTCTGTTAGATGTCTTCCAGATGGGGCTGCTTTATGCACTTGAACAGTTTTTATGCATATCCTGATTTTTTACAATTCCCATACATCTGGCCTTTCTGTGCTGAGCAAAGACTGCCTGGAAAAGTTAATATACAGTGTGTATATATATGGTTCTGCTTAAATAAAAATATATTGGATTTACCAACAAAATAAAGACGCTGAATGGATTTTAACTGATTTGATCACAATCCTCCTCAAGAACCTCCCAGTAAAATGTAGGAATTAAATTATTTTCCACGAATAGAAAATAGGCAGCAATAAAAACCTACATTATTCAGTACCAACAGCAGCTCAACAGTGTTTATGTTTCTAAAACTTTCATAACAGCTAAAAACAAGTCTGGGGATTACTAGAGAAATTGAAGTAGCACTTGCATTGTTCATCTTTTAACGATATGTCTTTCTTCTAAGCCTCGGAAACCATTAAAAGATAGATTTGGCAGGCATGCTACTTGTTAAAAGTGTGTAAATGTACACTTATAAAGTATTTTTATTCCAGATAAAATTTTGCCTTTTGCAGTTTATAAAGGCAGTATATCATTCTACAGTAGCATTTTTAGCCAGTAAAGCCCAGGCATGTGAGGCAGATTCATCCCACAAGACCAACGAAGAAGGGCATTATAGAATAATATTCCTAACCTTGGAGAAAGCCAGGGAAATGATAATACCGCTTTAAAACACAAATGAGTCATTTTGCTCATTTGGAGACAAATTGTACCCTCCTACACAGATACCAATTAGATAGAACTGAAGGAATTGAGAAAATATTTCAGATAAATGGCAACATTTTCTTTATACCTTCTTCTCACAAGGAAGGTAGTTTACAGACTACAGAATACTGCTGGGATTAAGCAGCTTGTTTGTCAATTCCGCCCCAGCGTGATGACGTCACAGGGAAGCGACGTGCATGCGGGGGTGGGGTTTCCCCCGGGCCCCGATTCCGCGGGAGCGGATATCGGGGATCCAAAGCGGGGGGAATTCCGCCCCCCGGGGGGAATTGACAGCCCTACCCCACAATGCAGACATTTACTGTCTTGGTCCTTAACAGTGCACCAATCTGCTCTGGCCAGCTACTTTAGTTTTCTGAATCCTTGTCAGCCATTTTGTCACCTGCCTCAAAAACCATTTAAAGTTGAGAGGTAGGATCTATATCTTTTAAATGAATACATAAAATCTGCATTAGTATATGTGTGGGAGGGAAGGCAGCATGGTGTAGCCCGATCTTGCCAGATATTGGAAGATAAGCAGGGTTGGTACTTGGCCACTCTGAGGAGAAAGCCCTCCTGCCCTTGGAAGTGAGCGGAGCAGCAAAGGGAAAAAGAGGTGCCAATGTTGCCACGGCACATCTGAACGGCCACAGAACTAGGAAGCAGAGTGAGTGCTGAGATGGGTGGAGGATGGCAACCTATCTTCTTCCCCCCACTTGTCCTCAGCCGTGAGGGAAAAGGTGTCATGGGAAGAGAACAGAGAACCCCCTAGGGATTTCAGAAACAACGTCTCCGTACCGCCTTCCCCCCAGCCCCACTGTTTCTGTGGGAAATGCAGGAGGGATGAGAACTGAGGGATGGGGGATCTGGGAGAGCCAGGTTCACAGACACGCTCCACCTGAGCAGGGACCCTGTCATCTGGGTCACCTGTGACCAATCCACCCCACTGGATTGTTGTTCGTGAGGTGGTGGAGGGGGCAGTCCAATCTGCCTCTTTGAGATCCTCAGAAGTAGGATGCGGGAAAAGAGGAAATAAAGAGCGAGAGACAGATTGTAGCCATGCTTGGCTGGCTGATGCTGGGCATATGTGGGGAGGGGTGTTGAAAAACTACCTTATTTACTTGCAAGGATGGTGACTCACCACCTACAAGTGCCATATATACAAAAAAGTAACTCATTTGTATGGAAATGTAAGATACCCCCCTTTCATGGGGGGAAAAACCCTAGTCTTGCATATGATTAAATACATTTATTGGGGTTTTTGTGGGTTCCCCAGTAAATCAATTGCTTTCGCTGCTAACCAATTGCTTTTGTTAGTATTTTAAGTAAAAAATAATATCATTAATTGGGTTCACCTATGTCCTTTATAAAGTTTATATCCCCAATACCTGGCATTACCTTTTATGGCACACATGGCCCAACCCGACAAAGTAACATTTATGTCAGATCCGACTCTCATAACAAATGAGTTTGACACCTATGCTCTATTCGGTATGTGTGCATAACATTTTTACTACCCAGATGCAAAACCTTACATTTATCTCTATAAAATCACATCTTGTTCACATCTGCCCATTTTTCCAGTGTATCCAACTCTGACTGTATTTTATCTTTATCTTCTAGACTGTTTGCAATCCCACCTAATTTGGTGTCCCCAGCAAATTTAATGAGTAGTCACTTCATATCCTCATCTAGATTGTTGAAACAAATATTAGAAACCACTGGGACCAAAACTGAGCCCTTCAGCAACCCACTAAATACTACACTCCAATCAGACAAAGAGCCATTAACTACCACTCTTTGGGTGTGATGGTCCAAACAATTCCTTATCCATCTAACCATCCTAAAATCTAATTCACAGCCCTTCAGCGTGCTGAATAAAACATCGTGGTAAACCTTATCAAATGCCTTACTAAAATCCAAATATACAATATCCACGGCATCCCCACAATCTATCAAGCCTGTCATCTGATCAAAAAGGAAAATGAGATATCTCACAAGACCTGTTTGGGACAAATCCATGCTGACTACTTCTTATTACCAAGTTATCCTCTAGATGTTTACCAATCAGTCCTTTTAAAATCCACTTGGCCTAAGCCAAAGAAGGAACAAATTGTTCCTGGTTCCCCTTTGTCACTCCAACACTCTGTACTGTGGTGAATTACGTTGGGCCTCTCTATCCCCTGAGAGGATTTTCAGAACTAACAAAAGGCTGCCTGGGGTGGAGGAAGCGATAGAAAGATCTGTTCCACCAACTCTTTCTGCAAACTGCTCCTTCTGGACCCAGACTGCTCTGTTCTTGGTCCCATGCTATGCACATACAACAACATGCTTAATAAACAATGAGGAATCCCTTATGAAAACCATACTTACTATAGTACCCATCATATATTATCAAACTCTGTAGCTTTAACTCAAAAAAGGGTTCCTGACTGAAGTCTATGTGAATTGTCTTTACTGAATAACTGACAAGTGAAAATGACTGAATTTTTAAGTTACAGAAATGTTGTAACACAGACTGGTTTTCCTTTAGGGTTCACTTCCTGGCATATGAATGCACCAGTGGCTTTGAAGCTGAGGGACATTTTACGTACAGAGAACATGGTTATTCAGAGTCAACATATCATTTTCTCATATCCTTCATGCTTTAGAGTTAATTTCTCATGGATTTCACTGGAGGGTTTTCTATTTGTTTGTTTGTGGTATGACATGTAAATACATTTGACTATTATTGGATACAGTCCTGCATACAATTATGTATGCTGGACCACACACAACTGGACACATGATTTCAGTCTTTAACCATACATTTAACAATTCTATCATTCTTCCTTCCAGAAGTTAAAGCCTTTAAACTTTGAGGAGAATCTAAGCGGCAATATATCATTTGGGGTACAGGGGGCTGATCTAACATGCCATGTTTATATGATAACAGGAATGTAATAGAAAATGGTTCTTTTCTTAACAACTTGAATTAGTTTCAAGTGTGCCATTTTGCATTCAAATGTAGAAAGACACGGAAACCAATCCTTTATTTTCTATTAGAAAACAGCCACTGTCCCCTATCTCTCATTATGGTGCAGACTACAAGACCTAACAACAAAAATCCATATTATTGATCTTACCAAGTCTCCACAATTATTCTTTAGAAGGAAACGCCGACGATAAATTACATCTGCACTGGCTTTTCATCTGCTGTTCGATATAAGTGATCTCTCAGGGCAGGCTGGAGACCTTAAATCGTCAACACCCTTGTCAAAGAAGCTAAGGAGGCCTGGGCTTCCTACAAACTGCTTTGGAAGAACTTTTAACCTATAATTTCTAGCAACAACTCATTTCATTTTCAGAAAATTGGGGAAAGTCTTTTCAGGAATCCCCCCCCCCCCCGTTTAATAGAATACTGTTTCATCTTTTTAAGGAACGCCTATAGAATTTTCTCCTTGCCTACTCACTTTTTAAAACCAAGAGTTAAATATGTGATTCTGCTAAAGAGCTTAAATATAATCTCAGATACATTATCTCCAGTTTTTTTTCACATCTCATGATGCTACAAATTACAGTTCTACTTAATATCATTCTTAAAGATCCAGGCCGCATCTGAAGTGTTTGCATGAAAAAAATGTTAGTTTCATTTCTCACAAACAACTGATTATTAAACTAATGTAAACCCTTCACGGGAATCTTCTAATGTGTAATATCTTTAGTTTTAATTCAAAGGCACAGATATGAACTCTGCATTTTGTAAGCTGTAGTGAAGTCTGTCCTACCTATTGTGTAACACTAATGTTTACTGAAATATACATTTAAAAGTAGTAGCTTTAAAATTAATGCTGTTGCTCAGTAATTAGTGATAAATTCTTTAGTATAATCAACTAATACTTCTTTAGTTAGGAGCAATTCACATGGAGATTATCAGCATTCCCCCCCCCCATGTGAATGGTACCTAGCTTATTGATTAAATTTACATCCACCCTTTCTTCTATGCAGTTCAAGGCAAAGTACATGAGCCACCCAGGCAGTTTTCATCCATACCAAATTAATATGTGGATACTGTGGGAACCACCTGTATAGGGGTATAATTTTCATTGATTTTTGCTGGCACAGTAGCTCCAAAAGGTACCACTAGATCATATGGTATTTTCTTCATGTGATTGTGCTCACAATGTGCCTAAGGATGATTGTGTTGCAGAGCTCCCAAACAAAGATGCTCTCTGGGTTTAACTCTCACTATCATATGAACACAAAATCACATGACTTACTTGGCTGCATGAGTTCCCAGGTTAATTTAGAATACCTACATTTTGTCCCCTTGGTCCTCCCCCCTCTCAGCTCTCTTGATGTGTTGCGAAATATCAATAGCAGATATGACTGTGTAAACCTGCCTTTAGAATCAACATTACCAAATAATGTAAATCTTCACCATCAAGTTGTTCACAACTTTTATATGAAATATGCATTATTCAAAATGTTTAAGTATCTGGAAACACTGTTTAACTCCAGTCTTTCTTTATTAAAGCACAATATACATCACCCTACAATTGTGAAATGTTATCATGACCCCATGTTGGAAATCGGCACAGCACCGTTTCAGAGCACTCACCTGAAGTCTCATAATACTGAGGATTTTTTGGCCTATGGAGATAACATAGAAGTTCTCGTGCATATGAAGAACTACAGGACTATCTGTGGAGACATAGGAGGGCAGGAACTTCTCTCTCTTTATATATGTGGACACTAGTGTTAGCACAAAGTACATATGGACACAAGGATTCTATTAACATCTAAAGTGTCTCATTTTTAAAGATGCTTCTTGAAAACAGTTATTTTACATGTACTGTAGAACCCAATACAATTCTTCACCATAACCTACCAATTCCCCCCCCCCCGCCGCCGCCCCCTTTAAAAAAAGAAAAACCCAAGACAAACCTGTATGAGTCCTATAGTGGTCTTTCATGGCTGATGCTGTGAGAAAAGAATAATGGCATGTAGGCCATGTGCACTTATATGGCTTTTCTCCCGTGTGAAGCTTCATGTGATTGTTCAGTGCCCAGTTCTCTGTAAAACTTCTGTCACACAAGTGGCATGTAAATTTCCTGTGGTTAAAAACAAAGGACGAAAGGAAAGAAAGAAAAATAAAACCAGGTGTTTGTACACACACCCCAAAACTGACAAAAAAAGCATGTTTTTAACCTGAAGTGTGGTAAATGCACAGACTTTCATGAAGAGAATTGCAGACCTGGTCTGTCATGTCTGTATAACCAGGCATTGATTTTTCTGTCGAGACCTGGCACTTCAGCCATTTATTCTCTGCTTTGCGGTTGGGCCCAACGGGTTTGAAAAATTCTGTTACAGTCCAGTCACCCCTGAGGCAAATGTGAGAATAGATTTCACCTGTACAGGCCTACACCACTTATCCAGGGCATGGGCTGTCAGAGCAAAGGCTAAATGAAAAGCTATCCATACTAAACTACTCAGACAATCACACCGCTCTGTGCCCTGCTGCTGCTACTGCAGTGAGGAGGTAAAATACTGCTTGTAATAACACTGTTACTGTAATAAACAAAAAACCTCTCAAAATTCCAAAAAGCATTTTTAAAAGATCATAAAAATGAGACTTACCTACAAAAAGGAATTTACTTAAAACACATGTATACCATCTCCCTTAAGACTTAATAGGAACTGACTTACATTTTCAAAGGGTCCCACAATGAAGCACAAACCCACTGCAAAAGTACAACAGCTCTCTATTAAAGGTAAACGTTCCCTTGCTCGAAAGCCAGTCGAATCCGACTCTAGGGTTGCGGTGCTCATCTCCGTTTCAAAGCCGAAGAGCCACGCTGTCCGAAGACATCTCCGTGGTCATGTGGCCGGCATGACTAAACACCAAGGCGCACGGAACGCTGTTACCTTCCCACCGAAGTGGTACCTATTTATCTACTTGCAATTTCTTGCTTTCGAACTGCTAGGTTGGCAGGAGCTGGGACTAGAGACAGGAGCTTACCCTGTCTTGCGGCACCCGGGTCTTGAACTGCTGAACTACTGACCTTCCACAGCCTGCAGTTCAGCGTCTTAACCACTTGAGCCACCGCAGCTCCAGCTCTCTATCAAAACAGCTTAAACTTTCACAAAAACAAAAAGTGGTGGGAGAGGTGGTACAAAGGGCTACAACTCATTTCTTAAATATTAATACTGTTGTGCTCTCCTGGGTGTTGCTCAGGAGGAACTTACATCATGCTTAGGCCCATAGCAGGCAAGATCAGGCTGCCAGCTGACACTGCCCAATTTCTTGTGGACTAGGAACACAGATGACGACTTCTAAAAAGCCACTCTCAATGAACCAGAGAGGTACACATGATGATAGGCACAATTTAATGTGACGCCCCCAGACCATTCAGCATTTTCAGGGTTAAAACCAGCACTTTTAACTGGGACTTGGAACTATCAGCTCAGGTAGCACCAAGTGGGCTGCAACTTTCTGTACTAGGTGCTGTTTTCAAACACTCTTCAAAGGAAGTCTCAGATAAAGTACATTCCAGTAGTTAAGCCAAGGGTTACATCCATATGGGTAATCCTCTCCTTAGCATCCTCTCCTCAAATAAAATGCATTGTATTCATTTGATCAGGGCACAACTGTGGACAATATTGAAACCTGAGAATCCAGGAGCAGGCTGGATTCTAGAATCGTGCCTGAAACAGACAAGATATATGAATGATAAACAAAATATTTCTATCAGCAGATGGTTACTCAAATCCTGTCTAGAGATCAGGGCCTAGTGACCAACATGACTCTTCTCAGCTTAAGACTTACATCATCTACCCCACACAAGACAGGCAAAAAGGAGAACAAGAAGAGTCAAGGTATATTTCCTTCCCCTGTTTTACTGGAAGCAACACCAAACGTTCCCATCATCTGCATATTGGTGGTACACAGCTCTATTTCTCCTTAACAGGCTAAGACAAGTGGATTTGTATAAGACTTGAAGAGGTGCCTGGAGAATTTATTTATTATATTTATACCCTGCCCTCCCAGCCTTGGCCAGCTCAGGGCGGCTAACAACAAGATAAAAACAACAGAGATAACAGTAAGTAATAAAGTCATACAACCAAGTAACAATTTACGATTAACAATTAAGACATTAAAAGGTGCTAACATCCAGATAAAACCATTATACAGTATTAGTTTAGTATTCCATTTAGCATCCATTTAGCGCGTGACTGCCGTACCTTCCTGGTGGACGGTCCAGATCTACATTGAACAGATGACTCAAGTGGCTCCTAGTTGAACGCCTGGTGGAACAGCTCCATCTTGCAGGCCCTATGTTACTGCATAAGGTCCCGCAGGGCTTTGATCTCCTCCGGGAGCTTGTTCCACCAGAGAGGAGTCACCACTGAAAACGTCCTAGCCCTGGTTGAAGCTAGCCTAGCATCCTTAGGTCCGAGGAGGGTGAGTTGATGTTAAGACCCTGATCGCAGTGCTCTCTGGGGGACATGTGGGGAAAGGTGGTCCCTCAGGTATGTAGGTCCCTGGCCATAAAGGGAAGGTAGTAGAGGTGCAGTTGGTCAATGACAAAGCAGATCAAGGACCCAGCCTCTCCTCAAATGGATTGCACTCCCTCTGAAGGAGCAGGTTTATAGCTTAGAAGTACTTCAGGTCCCAGCCTATGGCTGGAGAACATAAATACATAAGAAGAGATCTGCTGGATTAGATCAATGGGTCATATGGTCCAACATACTGTCTCATACAGTGACCAACCAGTTCCTCTGGACAGCCAACAACAAGGCATAAATGCCAAGGCCTTCCCTTGATGTTGCCTCCTGGCTCTGGGATTCCAAGGTTTAGTGCAAATGAATATGGAGGTTCCCCTCAGTCACCATGGCTCATCACCATTGATAAGACTTATCCTCCATAAATCTAATTCCATTTTGAAGCATTTGGCAGCTAATTCCACATTTTAATCACTCTCTGTGTAAAGCAATATTTCCTTTTGTCCATCGTGAACCTACTGGCCATCAGCTTTATTGGATACCTTGTGTACTACTATTTTGGGAGAGGGAAAAAGTTCTCTTTCTCAACTCTATCCATCCTGTGCATAATTTTATAAACTTCTATCATGTTCCCCCTTAGTCATCTCTTTTCTAAAGTGAAAAGTCCCAGACTCTTCAGCCTTTCCTCATAGGAAAGGTGCTGCAGCCCCCTAATCACCTTGGTTGCCCTCTTCTGTATTTTTTCCAGCTCTGCAATTTTCTTTTGGAGATATGGTGGCCAGAGTCCGCACCACGTATCTATACAGGGGCATTACAATATCAGCCATTTTATTCTGAGTCCGTTTCCTAATAATCCCTAACACATAGTTTGCCTTTTTCCACTGCTGCAGCATACCAGGTTGACACTTCCATTGAGCTATCCACTACAACCCCCAAGATCTTTTTTTTAAAATAACATTTTTATTTGGAAATAAAAAAGCTTAAACATTGGTAACAGACAATATTCCAATTGTAACAATATCATGTGGAGAGTCTCCACAACAATACATTGAGGTATGATTGAGAGGCATAATTCAGAAGTGTAATATTACCAAATTGAGTAACCAAGATAATAACAAGAAATAACATTGAATTATAGGAAATTACAAAATAGGTTAGTTGACTAGACTACTTAGAATCAGATCTATTGAACGTAATTTTTCCATGAAGGAGAGATAAATTCTGCTGAGAATAGGAATTCTAAAACAGGGAACCACTTTGCATTAAAATTTGTTACCATGGGGATTCTGGCGTTACAATTGTGTTTATCTGTGATGCTTTCCATAATGAATTGATCCCAGAGCTTGCAGAACCAAACTTGGATGTTGGGGGCAGAAGGATCTTTCCAGTATGAGGCAATTGAGATTCTGGCAGCATATAACATTGTTTCAAGCATCTGTTTGTGGTGATGACGTTTTATGTTAGGAGGCCAAATACCTAGAAACAGAAGTTCTGGTTTCAACGGGACTACAATGCCCAGTATTTGTTTGATGTATTTTAAAACTTCTTCCCAGAACCTACATATTACATCGCAGTGCCACCAGCAGTGGGCACAATTTCCTTCTTGCTCACAACCTTTCCAACAGCGAGAAGGGTAATTAGAGGACATATGTGACAGTCTTTTAGGGGTTAGATACCATCTGGATAGGATTTTAAATCTATGTAGGTCCATTGGAATGGAGCGTGGGGTGGAACCTTTAGCTGACCAGATTTTTTGCCAAGTTTCAACATCTAACATAGTATTGCAATCGTGTTGCCAGGCTACTTGGTAGGGTAGAGTTTTGGGGCCTGAGTCCTTTAAGAATAATTTTTATATAGCCAAGATCATTCCTTTATTCTGTGTATTGAATAGTTTAATAATGACCTCCAATTCTGTGTGAGGGTGGGATGTAATGGTTCCAATTTTGTTTTTGTTCACTATATGTTGAAGTTGGAGGTATAAAAACCAGGGGATGACGAGACCTAGTTTGCATTCTAGTACAATCTTAGGATGTATGCCATTTGTGTCAGCGATATCACAGTAGCGGAATAGGTTCATTTCTCTCCATTTGGATTGGACTTTTGGTCGAACGTGATTGGAGAACCATGGCTGATGGGTGAATATAGTATATCTGGAAACTTGTGGGATAAATTTCTTGCTGAAGGATCTCCATAAGTGTATGGAAGGGTAAAGAAAAATATTGTCTCTCACCTCAGTGAGATATAATGGGGTTTTATCCCAAATCAAACCATCTATTGAGGGGAAGGTAAGTTGAACTGAGCACAATGAGACACATTCAGGAGTAGATTTTAGTCATAAAATCTTGACGACATTGGCCAGTAGGCAATAATAGCAAAGAAGATCAGGTAGGCCATAACTCCCTTGATTTTTACATCTTCTTAGGGTTTGATTAGGGTCTTGGTTTCTTCCCGTCCCAAAGAAAATTCCGTAAAGTTGTCTGCCAATTTCTTAGAATGTTGAGGGGAATGTTGATGGGTATAGCCCTGAATAAGAATAAGAATTTGGGTAATATAAAGGATTTAACAAGGTGAAACCTTTTGATCCATGGAGGGTTCAGTTTGCTCCATT